GATAGATAGATAGATAGATAGATAGATAGATAGATAGATAGATAGATAGACTTTGAGGAGCCTCAGACATTCTCTTCCCTATTAAAATCCTCCTCAACCTTCTCTGTGTATTTCTTCTCCAGCTGTAGTCCTAGGTTTTGTAAGTTCCTGAAATAAAACCCCACATGCTACTGTTTCCTTGTGTTAGGTAGGAAGAAAGCATATATATATTTTGTTACCCTGAGAATTAATTGAAGTGATTTGTAGAAAGTTTTGAACAGCCCTTACATAGCGAATGTTCAGTAAGAATTATTATCAGTCACTTGACTTTAGAAGAAAAAATTCTGGTCCCACATTGGTCTTGCATTTTGTATCTTTCCTTTGCTCATTTGTTAAATTTCATCATCTGGTTTCCAAACACTACAGACCTGTTGTTTCTTGAGACCACACATTCTCCCTCTGTAAGTAGAATAGATGGCTCATCCCACTTTCTTCCTTGTTCGTAAACAAATATTTTTTTTTATATTCACAGAAATATATAACAAAATGTAGCTCCTAGAATTTTGGTACGAAAATACAAATTGGAAAGAAAAAAAAAAACTTACTGCCTTTCCCAACAGAATTAAATTATTAAAAAAACAATATATTACACCAGAACCTTTCATGGATAAAAAGCCCACACTGTTATTTCAGAAGGCCTGGCTTCAAGCTGTAATGCTGCTGTTTCCTAAATAACATAACTTCTCTGGAAGCAGAGATCTTGCTGCTATCCCATGCTGTCATGAAAATCTAGTCAGCAACTTGTTCCCTAAATATTTGCTAATGAGAGCTGAGGATGCTGCTCATCAGCAGAGTGCCAGTTTATTGCATACAAAGCCCTGGATTTAGACTTCATCCCACCTTCTAAAAAGCAATGGCCCCCTAAGATGGATCATGAGGCTGGTCAGCATAGGGAGTTCTCTGCTATCCCTTCACCTTATCCTTTGCTTCTCGTTGTCACATGCAAACTTTGCCAATGTGTTTTCTAATAGAGAAGTAGGGCTCTGCCCTTTCTTAGTATAAAACATCAGGCTCACTATGTAGAGGACTGAGGTAGAAAGAATTCTTTCTTCCCATCCCACCCAGAACATTTTAGTATGTATAAGAACACGATGAATAAAACACAGAGCATTTCACTAGGATAGACTCTCACACTTTGAAGAATCTTCCCAAACACCATGTCCTCCAAACCTCACAGAATGAATTCATATACGATTACAGGTGATACATGCATATAATGTCCAGTCTAGAGATTTCCACATGACGTATATGTGTACACACACTATTGTAATTGAAAAAAAAAGTATGGCATTTTTAACATGAATAAAACTAGACTTAGCCACCTTTATGAGTGGAAAAACATGCACAATCATCATGAGTTTTAAATTGAATGTTTGCTTAATTCATCTGCATTGAGAGAGAAAGAGATAAGAAATTCAGTATCACTTTGGTCATAAGTCTTGCTACAAGGACCTCACTGGCTCTCAGAGTACACTAAAGGAAGGACACCAGCTTCTGTTCCATCTCTGGTGAACACATTTCATTGCTGTTATACAGGTGTGTGACCTTTGGCGGTGATTCACAGAGATCGTGTTTCCTGAATATTGGTGGAACCCTGCCCCGAGAAGCTCTATAGACCAAGTTTTCCCAGCTGTAGACAACTCCTTTGTATCTCTGTGTATCTTTAATGTGACTGTTAGAATCTTTCGCAAACATCACCAATAGACTCATGTAAGATAGTGAACTTGCAGAGCTTAAAGGTTTGTACCTGGATTCTGTCCTTCAAAGGCTCAGGCAGGAAGAAAGATTATCAGGAGTTTAAGACCAACCTGGATGACATGGTGAGTTCCAGGCAAGCCTGAGCAATAGAGTTAAAGCCCTATCTCAAAGATAGATAGATAGATAGATAGATAGATAGATAGATAGATAGATAGATAGATAGATAGATAGATGGATAGACAGACAGACATACGGACAGACAGAGGGATAGGCACACATAATAATAATACACAAAAAGATGTACAAGTAGAGAATGCTGGATATATGTTACTGTTCCCCTAACTAGCATTTCCAACATCTCTCTGGCACTCCATAGGATCCCTCTTCCCTGAGACAAAACACCACGGATATTGGTCCAGACATGTAATATTACAGTGGCCTCTATGTGATCAAGTCAAAGTCCTTCAATTTGAACCAAAAGCCAGAAGTGAGAAAGCTTAATAAGAAAGGTATGTGAAGTTCAGAGGATGGCCAGAAGCTAGGCCACTTGTCCCAGTCAGTCAAATTCTAGATGCCAGGGAACAGTTCTTAAAGGAAACAGGAAGTGTCTTGCAGTTGACAGATACACAGGAAGATGGCCTTTCAGCCTTGTTGCTGAATGTGTTATGGTCTGGATAGAAGACCAAACCTTTAAGCAAACATTTCCTTACATCAAAACCTAATACAGTGGTAAACCCTGCCCTCAATCTAGAAATCCAGAGCAGTGCAAGGAAGCTCCTGCAGAATTGCTTAAAGCCTGTGAAGACGGGTTTCTGAGGTTTCAGGGAAGAAGCTGTCCGCTGTATACCCACACAGGAGAATCAGTGTGTGCTGGCATAGGTGCTGCAGCTTGATGCCTGGAGGATCTCGGTGAGGGAATGAGTGAAGGTAACTGTACTCATTGTATGTCTTCGCCATAGGAGCACAGAGGCTGGCTCCAGAGCACCATAGGGCTGGAGGGCTGTTTTGCTAGGGCTCAGGCAGTTGATGGCTTTAAACTTTAACCCATGCTCCCACACCATTCTGGAATTCCAGTGCACATCATAACTGTGCTAGAGCATCTCTCTCCATGCTCTATGAACAGAACAACAAAGCTTGGTTGACAGCGCATCTGCCTTCAACTGGATATGTGAACTGACAGATGAAATGCACTTCTCGGAAAAGCAAGTCCTATTGTTACCGCTCAGTAACACTGCAGCCAGTCTCCTTGGAGCTCAGACAAAGAAGCATAAAATGGCTGCTTTCATGCTGCTAGCACGGCCTCCATTCTTCAGCCTGTGGATTACGAGTCTTGGGTCCTTTTATGCAACAAATGTATTTTATAAGGTTATGGCTTATAAAACACAAAGACATAGTGATCGCTCTGGTGAATCAAAAATCTTCTGGAGATTATTCATGATTTTAGATGCCATTAAAATAAGTATTTACAACTCATTGGAGATCAAAGATTAAAATTACAAAGAGCAAGCAAATTCTTGATTGCAATATGGATGGATGATTTGAGGGTGCAAGATTTTGTGGGGAAAGTACCTGCAGCTGTAGTGTAAATGGCACATGGGCCAGAATTAGAACTGAAACCTGAAAATTGCTCTGAACTGCTGTGGAGACCAAACACAGCCACCAGGAGGTTTAGGATAAAAGCCCCAGAATAGGTCCAAGAGTCCCACCAGACTGAGTGTGGCCAACAGTCCTCGTATGTTAAATAGCAAGGAAAACGGTGATGACAGACAGAAGCTAGCATTGTTTTTCTTTTCATGCTGAGGATTACTTTCCAGCTGGAGGTAACTTTTGTGCATGGTAAAAGAAAGAAATCTATTTCTTCTCAAATGCATAGTCCACCCACTTGCAGGATTTATCAAACAGCGAACTCTCTGCTTCACAGTTAAGCTTTCCTCATAACTCAAGTGTATTTACCAACCTAAAATAATAGGACTTCTCCAAAGCATATACACACAGATATATACACTAGCACAGCATTATATCTGTAGTATACATATCATAATAAACTATGTGCATATTCAGAGATTGAAATAAATATGAGAATGAAAATCAAGATAATTACACATTTGAAATAGTAATCATCACTCACCGAATTATTGAAGAAATTGGCATCAGTCTGAGGCAGATGTCACTGTGGAAGTACTTTCTGGGTAAGGGTGCGGTGGTCTATCTGACAGTCTTTTGTGATAGTGTCTATCAGGCAGCAAATGTGATTTCTCATGGACTTTTGCTGGACTGAGTTATTTAGATAGTCTTGTATCAATGCCCAAAGTTGAGCTTTATGAGTTCTGTAATTTGCAAAACACTGCCCCTCACTGTCCCCTTGTACTTCTCTTGGGATGTGCTTGCTGTAGATACCTTTCTCCCTCAGCTGACCACATACACCTCGACACCACCTTGACTCTCTAGCACCATCTCACGTGATCACCATAGTACCCTGCAGTCCTTGAGATACTCAGCTCAGTTTGTTCATTGCCAGTTTTCTATACTTCAAAGAGATGGGGCCAAAAATATAAGACACTCCAACTTCCAACTGTGACAAGAGGCTTCCTTCGGGTTTTGTTTTGACTTCTGTTCCTCTCAGAGGAGAAGAAATTTATAAATGCAAATTTTCTTGAAGAATGTCCTCAGAAAAGAAATGTGTGTGAATTAGTTCCTTTTCAGCAGAGAAAGTTCAGTTCCTTTGGGCCCATGCTCACGCTTGCATTTCTCACTTTTTGTGACTTTTTAGTATCAAGCCAACATACGCATCACACAGTCCTAGTTTGTCCCACAAATGGTTAGCAGAGCTATCTCACCTATCAGAACAAAGCACTTGAGGGCTAACTCTACCCAGCTGATTGTGCTTCTCTGTCCCTCGATTCTGACATCGGTGAACAGGAGCATGGGTGGCAGCCCCTCCCTGGTATTGTGACTTCCTGGACATTCCTTTTCTCTCTCTACAAGAGAACAGCCCTCTCTGCTTTTCCCAGTGCATGTGGATCTGCCTAGGTGTTCTTCTCATTGCAGAGGCCACCTGTCCTCCACAAAAATCCCTCTGAATAAAGTCATTCTTAGCCAAATCTAAAGTTTTTGACAATATTATGCATAACATGATGCCACCACATTGTATATCTCCTTATACATTAGAATACATTCTCCACTTTGTTAATGTCAGGGGCAGAGTTCTTACCTTGGTGACTATTTCCTAAGGTAATAAATCAGAGCATATAAAACAATATTTATGATTGATTCATAACCATCAAGTTACATTAGCAAGACTGAATATTAAGTGCCCTTCAGACAGATGATCAGATTAGATGATGACAATCCCATGTCATCCAATGACAATAGACAGGATCCACCAGTTAATCTTTGAGAGATGGAATAAGAGAAAAGGGGGTTGAGCAGTATGTGTCTAACACAGTGAGAGAAGGACCAAATTCAGAAAGCAGGAAAAGTAGGCATTCTGACAAGCTGCTGGGGGTTGATGAAAATGCCATCACAGGAAACATCAAAGAGAAAGAGGTAACTAGAGGTAATTAGAAGGTGGAAAAAGAAATAAGACCCACTTAAGTTAGTCAGTACAAGCCCATGTCAGGCAAAGAGCCCATATATATCACCGGAGTAATTGGCTGAAGAAATACAGAAAACGGCCTGGCTACATATCAATTTGGTCTTATATTTCTCCAAGTGAGCTATTAACAATGGTACTTGAAATGCTGATTCTTGTAAAAACTTATGGTGAATCAGATTCTCAGAGAAATTTGAGACAACAGAAGAAAAACAAATGATGATTCATCAACCCCTGGCCCCCAGCAAGGCAGTGGGGTACTGTCAGAACCTACCTGCCAATTCTATAGAACTCCTCAATCTATGTCTTCTCACAATCCATGAATACAAGCTTTCTCCTGTAGTCAGAACCCATGTCCATTCCTAGGAGACACTGTTCGCTTTTGATTTTCAAAGTGTGAAAAAGCGAGAAGGTGCTGAGGTCTCTTCATACTTAGCTTATAGGTTTAGTGTGCTGAGTCCATTGCATTCTTACCTCACAGATATAACACACTTGAGGCCTCTGCATACTTACCTCACAGACTTAAGGCACTGAGGTCCCTGCGTACTTAACTTGCAGGTTTACTATATTCTGTCACGATGCCCTTTTGGAGAAGAAGAGGGGAAGAAAAAGATTGGTATTGAAAGACTGCTAAATACGAAAACTTATTCATCTGCCTTCCCGCTCCATGACGTGAGTATCAGAGACCTCCATAATGCAGAGCCCATTTCCTTTCTCAGAGACTGTCTTCCTGAGGGATGAAATAATTGTCCAGTTTTTTCCATTTTTTTATGAACTGCTTAGTTCTCCTTCATGATGCGAAAATTTCCAGATTCCATGCTTCCAGACTGAGAACTGCACCAGCAAGTATTGCTCGTGCAGACACTTCCCATCACGTCTTTTTAACAGTCATTTATATTTGCACACAATACTTTCTTTAGGCTCCATTTTGGAAATGGTAGTTATATTTTAAAAATTCCATGACTTAATACTCAGACATTTTAACATATCTTTTCTTATTCATTTTGATTTTTTTAAAAGAGTAGATGGACTCATTTATCCATCAAATAAAGAACTAGTTTCAGTAATGTGGAAAGCATTTTCCTGGGTATTCTTTTCACACAACCATGAGTCGAAGCTCAGAGATAAGGGATTATCTGTATATGAAGCAGATATATAACTGCACTAGGTATTGAGGATGTCAGTCATTAGAAGTATTTTTACTAAAAACCAAAATTCTAAAGACTTTTACATTGAAACTGATGACTCATTGCACAAAATTATAGAGTCCTATGTGCTTTACAAAGAGGTGACTGTTAGCATGTTGAGGCTAATTAGCCAAACCTGAGAGTAGCCTGGCAACCTGGAGCTTTTCTGGGAGTGGGAGAGGAGGAATATTTGCATTTGAATGGTTTAAGTATAGTCAGTTTCGCTGTGGTTTCATGGCAGTTATCTGAGGTTGGAAATGTCTGTTCACCACTTTGAGACCACCCCTTGGATCTCATTTCTCCTGTTTCAATAGCACTCTGTCCTAGCTGGAAAAGAGTTTTATATGATGCATTTCCTGCAAGAAATAAATCCTTCCTTGTGGAGTAGAAACAGATATTTCCATTGGAACAAATGGGAGACATTTTTGTCTATTTTCAGTACTGATTGCTTGATGGTTGCATTAAGTGATATTTTCTCTATTTTTCTTTTACTGAAAATAGATTTTTTTCATAAAATATATTCTGATTATGGTTTCTGCTCCCCCAAGTACTCGCCTCCCACCTGAGTCCACACCTCTTCCATCTCTCATTAGAAATGATTTTTAGAAGCCTGTAGCCAAACTTTACCACATGACTTAAACTGCAACCAAGCAATCAACACTGTGAAATATGACTTAAAGATGGTTCTACCAGGACTACTTTGACTTGTTTCCTGTAGGTTAGAGTACCAATTTCATACGAGAATTTTCCCTTTCAACCAGCATGTGATTCTTTAATATAAGGATGTAGAAACTGTCCACCCTCCCCTAATACCTCTTCGCCAAGATGTCCACAGTCTTCATCCTGTGATTGAAGAACTATGTGGGGATTACAGATTCAAAATACCGCTGACAAGTGGGCTGATGATATAGAAGGATCCATTTACTTTGGTATATATGTTGCCAGGCATTCTTTGCCAATTTTTCTTTACAAAGTTGTTTTTTTTTTCTTTTTACATATTACAAAGGAATTTTGTTCACTTTTGTACCTGAAAGACATTGATTCTCTTAACCCATTGCTCAGTTATAAATCCAGCTCCTGTCCTGGTTCCAGGTTATTTCAGTCAGCACAGCCTCATTGTTCATTAGAAATGAGTGGCACCAAGTTGTCCTTAGAGGCAGCTGGACTTCAACCTCTTCTGTTTAGAATGGAAATTTTTAAATGGTGGCTTTTCTCTTGTGTGCTTTTTAGAGTGATGTTTTACACCACCTCCAAACACTATCCTAAGGGCACTGTCTTTAAGCTTTATTTCTCAAACATCAGTTGTGTTGCTACTGAACAACAAAAAGCTTGAATTCGTGTAATGTAAAATGCCACATTTTATCCTAATTTTCACTTGTGTTAATCTTGAAGCTGAATACTCACTCTGCACTGCCTCACCAGTTCTCAAGTACACATTTTTTTTTAATGAATTAAGCAGTTACTTGCATAAGTGGCATTTTGCTTGTTTGACCAACTTAATAAATCACTCTGACTGTGGTTTTGATAACTTTAGTAAATGATTTTATGTGAGTGGAATATGAGTTAGAAATCTACCATTTAAAGATGGTATGAGCTTTGTCCACTGGCTGCCTTTCCACAGAGCCTCTCTTCCCCCTTAATCATCTATGTGTCTCTTGCTTTCTCCTCTTATCCTCTCCTTGTCTGTGAGCAGGGCCAATATTGGAAGCCATCAAAAACTTCTTACATCAATGAAAGGTACATCCTTTGCAAGAACTGGGCTCGGTTTTCCTACTTTTACAAGGAGCAACCTTTTAATTTGATTCGGTAAGTTCATTCAGCATTGTGACTGTTAAAAGCCAATGATATGATCTCTGTTCATAGTTCTATGGTAGGCTACTATGTGCACTGCTCTTGTTACTCACGGCATTTCAGAGCCTCTCTTTACTGTGAATTGTTCATTTGGAAGCTCAAAAGTTGCCACACCTGTGATGAGGAGAATTCAGCATAGCGGTTACGGGCCAGGACCTAGCACTTAGCTAGGTTGAAGTCAGCCTGATTCCTGCCTTGTACAAGCACACACGCTTGGTCATGGTACTGAAATGCCGTGTGGGTCATCTCTAACATGAAAATGATGCTTTATTTTCCTTTGAAAATTCGGTGTGATTTCTTTACATTTTAGTTTAAGTACATATACTAATTTTGTTTTACTTCCAGAGTAGAAGAATTTAGAAAAAGGAGAAACTGACCTGTGAATGTTGGTGTGTTGCTCTCAGAGATCTGTAGAGTTCTTGGTTATATAATCTCAACATATTTAAAACATGCTGTAATCAATGCATAATAAATAATAGAATGAAAAGGTATATGTGGATGTTTTTTAATTTTGTCTTATAACTTTTGTACTTGAAATTGTTTCCAAATGAGAACTATAATAAAACAAAGAGAGAGAGCTCAGAAATAGACTCTTGTATAACAATCACTTGACGTTTCAGCTGAGAACCCCATGTGGGAAAAGGCATTGTTGTGGTTAAATGAAGCTAGCACAGGTGGATGGGCATGTGCAAGATGTGTATCTGTACCTTTTCCAGTGCATAAATATAAATGTAGATTGATCAGAGGAAAAAGTGTCAGTATAGGCTTCTTAGGTCAGACACAGCATACAAGATAATGAGTATATTTGGTTAAAGACATAGTATACCACAACAAAAAATATGTACAATAAGCATATAAGTGAAGGACACTCATCTAGTATATAGGAGGGACTCATGTGATAATGGAGAATTTGACAAAAGGGCATAGCAGTTACTTCATCAGAGAACTATGCTCATGGATGAAGCAGCCCATGAAGAAACCTATGGATAGTCTCCCATGGGGAAATAGAAAATCAGTGTCATTGAGTGGCACCACACTCCTGCCAGCAAATGCAAAATCAAAGACCACACAAGAAACCATCTGAGGCAGGAAGTCATTTGAAATCCCAAATACCACTGGTGGGAATGCATGGGCAAACCCTTTGTCAACCCTTTGTCTTATGAAGTTAAATGCATTCTCTCTTAATGATGCACTAGTTCTGCCCACAAATGTGTAGCCAAGAAAAATGAAGAATCTGTCCATGGAGAAATCACATTTGAATATGGAAAGCAACTTAGCTGGTAATAAAGAGAAACTGGGAAGAGTGAGACATCTAAGAACAGGAGTTGTATAATAAGTCAAATATCTATACCCAAACTTTGCGAGATCCTGTATCAAAACAACAACAGAAACTGTAGTAATAGCTTAGCATCTAAGGGCACCTGCTGCTCTTCCAGAGGACACAAGTTTGGTTTCTAGAACCTACATTTGAGTGAGTCCAAGAAACAACTACCTATAACTTCAGCTGGGGGTGTCCAATGCTTTCTTCTGGCATCTGTGAGCATTGCACTGCTATGCACATTTACACAGACACACTGACACACACAATTAAAAATTAGACTAGTAAAAATAACAGAAAAACGACAAAAATGAAGTCATGAATGTGGGAAAGAACTTGAGGTGAATATTAGAGAGGAAGATTATGCTAATCAGAATGCACATTGTGTATGTATGAAATTGTCAAAGAATAACTACAAGAGCATACAAAGCAAGATGAGGACCAAGGCTGCAAACTAGTGTTTAGGACACTCAGTGGAAGTTACTCACACATAAAGGTTTAACTGTTACTATATACTTTTAAGTTTACTCATCAAGTCCAAAGTTTAGTAAAAAACTTTCTATCCTTCATTTTATGTACATAATAAATTCCCATTTTATCCAATTCAGGAAATGGCTTAGTGGTTTCCCACATTGAGACTAATAATAATTATAGGCCTGCAGGCCTTTATGTATGCTTTTTTATATGACTGAGAATCATTCTTGAAATTTGAAAGGGAGATGAAAGTAGTCATTTAAAAGCTAAGCACAAAAGTTGTCGAAGTAACCAACCATGATCTGATTGATATTAAGCTCCACTCCACAAGACCAAGAACCTGAGACTAGATAGGTCATGAACCTAGGAAAAAAACTAAAGGAACACAGCAATAGGGTGAGTCCGTAATGACATTCTGCTATGATCAAAGATCAGTGCCTTGCTCAGCCATCATCAAAGAAGCTTCCTTCTGCAGTAGATGGGAGCAAATCCAGACTCACAATGTGAGACAATGTGAGAGATATTCAATCCTAAATGGGATGCCTCCATCAAATACCTCCCCTCACTGCTCAGGGAACTCTGAAGAAGTGGAGGCAGAAAGATTGTAAGAGTCAAAGGGAATGGAGGACACCAAGGAGACAAGGCCCTCTAAACATACTGATGCACATATGAACTCATAGAGGCTATGGCAGCCTGCATAGGGCCTGCATAGGTCTGAGCCAGATAGGCTCCAAGTATTGAAAGGACAAATAGACACAAGTTCCCACCTTAACCCAGAAACTATATCCAATTGATGACTACTCACAAAGTAAAAATTAGTGTTCTCCAACAAGGGTCTCATCCAGGACACAAACAGCACTGAAGGGCCGGATGTTATGCTCAGCAGTAGACGGCCAACACAAAATGAGTTCTATAGTATTTTTGCAAGTTTTCAGTCCTACAGTGCTTTGTTTGGATTTTTAATTGTTTCTTTGTTTTACCTTACAGATCTTTTGCTTATATATTAAGGTTTCCGATTTTGTTTTTATGAATTCTCTCTCTGTGTGTGAATGTGCGTGTCTCAGTGTCTATATGTGTTTCTTGCTCTTTTCCTTTGGCTTTTATTATTCTTCTGTTTGTTTTGTACTATTTTGGTTTGTCTGGTTTTGTTTTTCTTATTCTGTTTTATTATTTTTTAGATGACTGTTTATATTCTATTGAGAGAGAGAAAAAAGGGTATTTATTTGGGTGAGAAGGATCTGGGAGGATTTAGGGGAGATGAATTGTAATCAGAATATACTATGAAAAAAAAGCTATCAATTTCCTTCTTTTTTGTTTTTTGTTTTGTTTTTGTTTGTTTTTTGAGACAGCATTTCTCTGTGTAGCCTTGGCTGTCCTGGACTCACTCTGTAGACCAGTCTGGCTTCCAACCCATAGAAATCTGCCTGCCTCTGCTTCCCTGAGTGCTGGGATTACAGGGGTGTGCCATGGCACCTGGCTCCATCAATTTCCAAAAACAGAAAAATTTCAAAGAAGGAAAAACAAACCAAAGCGTAATTTTTCAAGATATTCAGGTTCTTCGTGATTCCTGAGAATATTTGTACCTGTGGCATCCGGGCACTTGTTGTGCCTCCTAAAATGGTTCTGTCAACTTCAAACAGCAAAAGGAGAGCAAATAAAGTATGTCAAAAATAAAATACTTAGTACTTAAATTTAGTGGAGGGGAGGCTGGGCCTGGAGGTTTGCTAAGAATACAAAGCTAGTCTTGGTACAGAGTGAGACTGTCTCAAAAAAAGAAGAGACAGAAAGGAAAAGAGAAAGGAATAGTAGCGTCCTTTTTTGTGGGGTTGGTGCTATGCAGTATTATAGCAATTGCTTGATTCTTTAGTAAAATCTCAGAGAGGTATAGAGCCATTCACATTTACCGTGGGGAAACTGTCAGCAGTCGATTGCTTAGGGACTATATCGGCATTGTGGGGAAAACAAAAAAACAACACTACAAAAAGTGTTTGTCAACATTGAAAAGGAAACATGAAACACACAGCAGACACCTTTTCAATTAGAAAAGTTTCGAATGCTGAAGAATTAATATGTAGCATGAGAAATCTATTTAAAATCTGCTTAAAATAGTCGCTGTGGGAAATGACATTTATGTTCCTTTTGCTTACTCACTCTGGTCTCCTCCCAGGGCAAGGTGGGGAACTGCAGGTCAGTATCTTCAGTTCTCAAATTATTAAGCAGTAAACTTTGAAACCCTTGTGTGTGTGTGTGTGTGTGTGTGTGTGTGAAGTCTGTCCATATCAGAAGCTATGTGAAGGTCACAGAACTGGTGATGAATTCTCTGAGGCAGGGAGGTCCATGAGGCTGGACTCAGTTAAACCAGACTATGAGTGCAAGCAGGTATGAGGAGCCACACTATAGACTTTGCCACTCTGTGAAGCAAGGGTTGCGGTTACACCCGAGTGCCATTGCAACTGTCAAACTCCAACTGTCAAAAAGAGGCAAGATGAACATTCATGCAGATCGTGTCTGCCATCTTAAGCTGCCAATTGCCACACGTTACATCCCATTGTATAATAATTTGTTATTTATTTTATATTTAATAACTTAAAATGGATAAAAACTTTAACATTATCAAGTTCTCAATATGATATTATTTAGAATTTAAATTCTATTCCATTGGTTTTCTTTTCATATGGGCTATATTTTTTTTTTAACCATTACTACTATGAACTTTGCTTGCCAGAGTGAAGCCAGTGCACGTGTCCCTCAGTTTTCTACCAGCCTCTGACTTTGACTCTCTATCACAGGGATTATTATGGAGAAAAAATCGGTATCTATTTTGTGTTCCTCGGGTATTACACAGAAATGTTGTTGGTTGCAGCTGTGGTTGGCTTAGCCTGCTTCATCTACGGCTTGTTATCAATGGAAACTAACCAATCTAGGTGAGCACAAGAGACCAGCTGAGTAGTGGCTGCCCTTGTCTCGGCTTCTACACCCTCTTTATTTTCCCCACATTTACCCCAAAAATGCTTCCTTGTGGCAGCAGGTAATATTGTCCTTACCTGGAGCTTTGTGGAATCTGCCTTTTTATTGTTGTTTTTGTTTTTGCTGCATTTATTCTTTTTATTGCTTGAGACTTTCATACATGCCTATAATGCGTTTTGATTAAACCCACCCCTACCTCTTCAACTCCTCCATTACGCTCAGCCATTTTCCTTCCCAATTTCCTGTGTTCATTTTAAAACCCGCGAGTTCATGGGATGATTTTGACCTCATGTGCATGCACAAAGGGGAGCATATCTCTGAAGAAAACTGACTCTCCATCCCCGGCACCTGTCATACAGCTCTTCAGCCAGGAGTGGGACATCATGATTCTGCAGCCTTCCCCCATCCTGGCATATTATCTGGTTTGATCCTGCTTAGGTCTTCTCCAGCAGACTGTGTTTAAAAAGTGTGGTATAAGGACTCTGTTCCCTAGAGTACACTTAAAAGACTACAGAACCATTTACTTCATCCCCACTTTTGTTGGGAGTGGAAGCATGTTGAGCATTCTGGTGAGACTCCAAACTACATTTTTTTTTATCTGACTTCTTTGGGTAGCATTGAAATCTGCGACCCCAAAATCGGAGGCCAGATGATCATGTGCCCACTTTGTGATGAAATGTGTGATTACTGGAGACTGAACACCACGTGTTTGCACTCAAAGGTAAGTGTGCACATGTCGTATGGTGGGATGAAGACTGGAGCCTCCTTCCTTCCCGTGGGGACATGTTTCATATTAAGTGGTTTTTATGGTGGTGTTGCTTTTACAGTTCTCTCATCTGTTTGATAATGAGTCAACCGTGTTCTTTGCAATCTTCATGGGGATCTGGGGTGAGTGCAAAGTCTTCTCCAAAAGAGTTTTCTTTGTTTTATGACTTTCATGAACTTACCACATTTTGTCTAATCTGCTGTGTAATTTGAGCAACTGATTGTTGTTTGTTTGTTTTCTTTTTACCATTAGAAATAATCCTGGAAAAAAAAACTCTTTCCTTTTTTAAGACAAAAAATCTTATAGAGTGCAGATTGGCCTTGAAGTCTCTGTGTAGCTTAGGGTGACTTTGAACTTCTGACCTTCCTGATTCTGCCTCCTAAATTCTATGATTACTGGTGTGTACCACACACCAAGTTTATGTGGTTCTAGGGATAGACCAGGGCCTTGTTCACACTAGGCCAACACTCCACATTGAGCTATGTCCCCAGCTCCTAAAACAAAGTTTTTTATATTTATAAAATAACTGTCAAAGAATAATTCTGACAGTGTGAATTTGCAGAGAAAATTTATATTTGCAACTTAAAAGCTTTGCTGTACACCTGTATAATTACATAAAATGGGACTTTTATCATGCAGACTTGGGTCTCATTTTTCAATAGCAGAGACGCTAGAGGCTGGCGGTCTCTTTAATCACATGTGATTTGATAGATGATATGTCATTTCATTCTACTTTCTATCTGCAGTTTTTTTTGGTCACAAATGATTTTGATTTTCACTAATCATTGGACTTCCTTTGCCACCGAAAGCATTTTTAGTGCTGTAATACTTTGTTAGTGTTTATGTTTAAAATAAAAAAAAGGACTCCTTTGCACAAATATTGCAGATATTTCTAAACTCATAATTTACATTCCATCTCCTGGTCAGGAGAACCTTTATTTATTTTTTATTTTTTGATCTGTTATTTATGTATTTATTTTTCTAAGATTTTTTTTTTACACTTTATTCACTTTGTATCCCCACATAGGCCCCACCCTCCTCCCCTCCAGATCTCACCCTCCCACCCCCTTCTTTATGCATGCCCCTCCCCAAGTTCACTGATAGGGGAGGTCCTCCTCTCCTTCCTTCTGATCTTAGTCTATCAGATCACATCCGGAGTGGCTGCATTGCAGGAGAACCTTTATTATGTAACCAAGTCATAAGCATTTCTTTCTAACTTTTCTCAAGCTGTGTGTTTCTGTAGCTCACCTAAGATGTGAAGCTACACACAGTTTATGCCAGAAATGCAGTAGTTTCATTCTATGAAGTTTTGACTGTAATTTGTCAGGTTCTACAGTATCCACTGTAGGGCAGATAGTACTCTACATGCAGATGGTGAAATGTGCCTGTGTATTGCCTTTATCTCGAAGCAGATACACATAACTCATGACTCCAGTCACTGGTCTATCTGTCACTTTAGAACAAGCATCTTCATGATTTTAGTTTCCAGAGTTTCAGGGCTAGACATGTTTGTGCTCAAGTGTATGTTGAATACTGTCCTTCCTTCCCTGGCCCCATCTTTCTTTCTCTCTCTCAACTACACTTGATCCTTGGACCTCTTTTTGATTTTTTTTTTTTTTATATCGAGTCAGGAAGTTTCCCAGGCTTGTCTTGAACTCAGTCTAAGTGAAGCAGGCCTTGAACTAGCCAGTGTCCTGTTTCAGTCTCCTAGTCAGCTGAGAGGACAGGCTGGTACCTTCCACCATGCTGTAATACCTAAGTCCTGTGTAAGCTCAATCAAAAATGCACAAACCGAGGGTCTCTATAATTTACAAAAGTTATTTTACAATGATACAAATCTTCAGATCCTTGTGAATTTACGTAATCTCAAGAAACCCATAGAAATTATGATTGTAGTTTGGGTTTTAGAATAAATCTTTTCTATTTTCATGCATGTACTTTTGCTAACTATTTTTCCACCATGTGACATCTTTTGTCCCTGTTTACCTGGCTTTCTTAATTTTTTTACAGAGTGGCAAACTTTGACATGAGAAGGGTGTAACTACTCAGTGAACCTATGAGTCACAAGTATGTGGTTTGTTTCCACAACACGGTCATCAAATATTGCTGCTAAAATTTATACCAGTTTTAGTGTTTAGCTAATGTCAAGATGAAGTATTATGGCAGATTACCTGAATGAGGAGGCAGTGTCGATGATCTAGAAATTTACAACTTTAACTATTATGAAATTAACTTGAATTTTCATAGTGAATAATTTCTGCGTCACGACTTAACGTCAAAACAGTAGTCACTGATAAACATGCCATCAAAAATGGGCACCATTTTCAACTGACAACATGCAAACTCCTCCGCAAACAAATGATTAAAAGCAGAAGTGAAGGTTTCTTTCCTAAGAGTCGTTTTTACTATGATCAGTTCTGTGTGCACATATGCATACATGTGCTTACATACACTGGGTTCCCAACATGTCAACAAGAGGGCATTGATCTTCTGGAACCACAGTTAACGGTGGCCGTGAACTCAGAGCTAGGAGCTGGGGACTGAGCTTGAATTCTCTGCTAGAGCAGCAGGACCTCTGAGCTGCAAGTCGCCCCTCCAGCCCCGAGGATTGCTGTCTTGCTACTTTTGTTTGTCTGTTTGTTGATGGCTCCACCCTGATGCTTGCCTCCCCTAAAGTCACACTGTTTCTGGAGTTTTGGAAACAGCGACAAGCCAGGCTTGAGTACGAATGGGATCTGGTGGACTTTGAAGAAGAGCATCAGCAGCTCCAGCTACGGCCCGAGTTCGAAGCTATGTGTAAACATAAGAAGATGAATTCTGTGACAAAGGTACAGTAGACACGGAACAGTGGTTTGTGTCGGGGATCCTCTGCTATCGGTTTCCCTGGAATAGTGTTCCATCAACACAATTAATTAATTGATAATTAATTAAAATTTGAGACGTTTATATATTCATGTATATGAAAGTTTCACACACATTTACAAAGAGAAGGTTATAGTTAAACCCATGGGTAGACTGGCCATCCAACATTGCATTTTCACCCCACAGACAACATTTTCTCACAGGCATCCACACACCTTCCTGTCAGTAGATTATTTTTGAAGCAAATACAATGTATCAGAATATGAAATGTGTGATTTTACTACTAGAAGAGTAAAAAGGAAATGGAAGCTAGTGTGTATAGAAATGAGATGTGTTAAACTTAAACACTTGTGTTACGAGAATGGATTTAAAAGTAATGACTTTATTTTATCAAATGTCTCTTTATATCGTGCTTTTACATTGATTACCATGGGAAAGTCACTTCATTGGAGGTGATAAAGGTCTAGGTTTTCACATCTTTAACCATCAAATTGGCCATGTATTCTTGATTAACACATTACACTTCCTGTAAACTCACTATTCTCATGTGAAGGTAGAACATTCTTTTCCTTCAGAGGACAGCGTGTTGGCAGCATAAGTTAGGAGCCCCTAAGTTCTATGAGAAAGGGGATACGCTACCTCAGATCTCAGATCTTCTGTACAATCCTCCCTTTCTTGAGGGCACCATTGCAAGAGGACTTCCAAGACTCTTTTCATACTTTAGGAATTAGCCAAATATCTTTTTTAAATTTAAAATTATTTTTTTATTTAGAAATAAATAATAGGGGCTGGAGAAATGGCTCAGTGGTTAAGAGCAATGTCTTGTTCTTTCAAGGGACCCGGGTTCAATTCCCAGCACCTACATGGCAGCTTACAACTGTCTGTAATGCCAGTTCCAAGGGATCTGATACCTTCACACTAATGCACATAAAATTAAATAAATTTTAAAAAAATTTAAAAAAGAGATAAATAATAGTAAATTATGTCAAAATTAAACAACTGCAATCTCCTACAAAGATGTAGAAGGTGTGAAGCTTAGGCTTTAAGTAGGTACTCTAGTAAGGGAAGAAAGGACTGCATTAGACATGAACTCATTTGCTAGCTTTTTGATTGCTTTCCCCTGCCAGGACTGGCTTGACAGGTGTCAAGGGAAAAGGACATGCTCAGTCCTGATGCAACTTGAGCTGGGGTGGTTGGGAAAGGAAGCCAAATATCTTTCAAATTTTACTTCAATATCATAAAAATGTCCAGCATGTATAACACCTAGTTAATCTGGGGTGTTACATGAATTACTTTTTCTTGTTGCTGTGAAAAAATACCATTGCCAAGTGCAACTTATAGAAAGGAGAATTTAATTTTTGCTTAGGTTACAAAGCAAAAATCCATAAGGTCAGGAAATGCTTCAGCAAGAGATCACATTCATCCACACATAGAAAGCAGAGAGAAAGAGAGAGAGAGGGAAAGGGAGGGAGGGAGGGGGAGAGGGAGAGAAAAAGGAAGGGAGGAAGGGGGAGAGAGAGCGAGACCTGGAAGTAGAGCCTATAGATGCCCAAAGCCCTCTCACAGTGACGTATTTCCTCTATCAAGGCTACACTCCCTAAAGGTTCCATAACTTCTCCAAACAGTGCCAACAACTGGAGACTTGTGTTCTCATGCATAAGCCTTTGGGAGACCTTTCTTTCTTTCTTTCTTTCTTTCTTTCTTTCTTTCTTTCTTTCTTTCTTTCTTCCTTCCTTCCTTCCTTCCTTCCTTCCTTCCTTCCTTCCTTCCTTCCTTCCTTTCTTTCTTTCTTTCTTTCTTTCTTTCTTTCTTCTTTTTGCTTTTCTGAGATGGTTTCTCTGTGTAGCCTTGGCTGTCCTGGAGTTGCTTTGTGGTCTCAAACTCACAGAGATCCACTTGCCTCTGCCTCTCTGCGTGTTGGGAATATAGGCTTGCACCACTGTGCCCAGCTAGACAAATTTTACTGAAGCCAGTTGTTCAGAAAAGACAGTGCATAGAATAATAACACAATGTGTGAGTTTCTTCGTTCCTATTTTCATAGTATAAAAAGACAACAGAGGCAGACCACTTGGTTTCACCCAAAATTAACAGAATAAAAGATGCTGTTTATATTTGTACTTCATGAACAAGAAGTGTGTGTAGACTCTCCCTGATTCACTCACTTCATTTAGCTCTAACAAAATTGAAATTAAGAAGGAGAAATTTTTCATTTCTGGCAATAGATTTTAATCACACTAAGAACTCTCACATGTGAGTCTGCATTGATGGTACATGTGGACACGGACACACACACACACACACACACACACACAAACTGGGTACAAACAGAGGATCCCACATGCACACAGTTATACATGTACACATTCATGCACAGCCTGCATCTCTATGAAGGACTTCGAAGCCTTCTCAGCTCAGGGTATGTTCTGTAGCTATTGTGCAACCTGAAAATCATAAGCCTGGAATCTTATATTTTATAGAACTCCATGGTTTTGCATGTCTCCTGACAGCTCTTCTTCACTGAATAACAACATTCATAAATAGATGTTTGACTATGACTCAGAATGCTATTTGATCCAATTATTATGTTGTATATTAAAGCCTGTGATGATGGAGGTAGAAGAGGCTGACCTGCTTAGTTTTGGGTAATAAAACACGGACTTCACACACAGTAAAGCAAGTAGGGAACATTTCAGATGGAATTAAATTGTACCTTGTCATATTTCAGTGATAAGCTTTGCACTGTGTCTCTCCTCTGTTAGGCCCTGGGGGGCCACTGCAACCCATCACTTAAGAAGTAGTTTGCCTCAATCAAGTCTTTCATGTCAGGTAGAATGTCACTTCAGAATCTGATGGTCTTTTCTTCAAGGGAAGGCGCCACTTTTTGTGGACTATGTAATGAGAGAGCCCTTTATGAGGGCTCTCCCTTCAATGTACTCCTTGATTTTTCTACCGCCATTTGGACTCTCAACTATGAGGACAAAGTGCTACTTTGTTATTTCTCTAATATTACAGGAGATGGAGCCACATATGCCTCTGTGCAATCGCATCCCATGGTACTTTGTGTCGGGGACCACAGTGACCTTCTGGGTAAGCACCATTTTAGACTATTTTACCACTTCTATAGAACATAGTCATCCGTGGACCACAGTCATCTCTATAGCTATGTCTGCATCAGCTTTTTGATCATTCCTGCAATGCCCCATTCTTCCTACATTGGCTATACCTTTTGCGCAAAGCATGCCATAATTTACATGTTTTTTCTAATACTGAAATTTGTAGAAACATATAGAGGCAGAGTCCTTTTCTGTCATTGACTGATACCTTGACACCAAATCACATTCACCTTCATTGCTGTCTCTGGTTAGTGTTATCAATCAATATGTTATTCATTTGCCTTTATCTCCCTTCAAGTATCTATACAGGTGATCCAGCAATTAAACTATTACACTTCTTTTTCATGCTGAAATAAGCAGAATAAAATCTGAGGAAGACAAATCCTATGGTGAAGGAGTTGGTTTCTCTCCACATCTATAGTTAATATGCTTATTCAACACAAGTTCTTTTTTTTTTTTACCATTTCCTTTCTTTTCCAAAATTGTGTACCCTTCACAGTTAGCCTTTACTTGGAGAAGAGGGGTGAGGGTGTTATCCTCTGAGGAAATGCCATATTAAGGTGTAAAGAAATTAACTATTTAACTTTGGTTTACTTCTCCGGTGTATACACACTGTACTTTGTAACAGTTCTTATTAAAATATTTTTCTATCTTGAAGTTGTTTGGGATATGCTTTCTTAGCTTACATAACAACTTTTAGAAGAAAAATTAATTAAGGGGAAAAATAACCACTTCAGGATCAATTCTGAGAAATTGAGTAGGAAGCATGGTCTCAAAATTGTTGTTATGTTTTAGTTTTCTACTTATCACTCAATTTGATTTGCTTTCTCAGCTTTAGAAGAGAGTTTCCAGTTACTGAACTGATACAGAGTGATACCGCTTTGAATTACACCAAGTATACAAAATTGATGTGGGAACTGCATAACTTAAGCCTAGATCGTGTTTCGTCAGTTTTTTTCTGAAAGGGGAATTCATTCATGACCACACAGTGTCTGTTTAGGGATTATTTTTAATTTTTTTTAAAAAGTTTAAAAAATAATCTATATTTCTATAGGTAATCTAGACAAATAGATAGGTAGACAGACACACGGACAGATAGATGGACGGAGGAAGAGTAGGTAGATGATAGACAGGCGGGTAGATAGAGGATAAATGATAGATGATAGATTCATTTCAATGGCCACATCAAAACATACCAAGCCAGGATTGGGATCCAGAATGTAGCTGTCATCTGTAACCACTGCGGCCAAATGGATTAAAAAGTGAACTTAGTAGTCACCTCTCATTTTGCTATGATGAAATAACCCACAAGAATCAGCTGGAGAAAGAAGAAGTCTATTTGGGTTCCAAGCTGAAGGACATACCCCATCACAACAGAGGATGCGTGGTAATGGGAGTTTGAGGTGCTAGTCACGCTGCATCCATAGTAACAAAGCAAAGAGAGATGAATGCTTATACTCAGCATGCTTTCTCCTTTTTATGCTGCCCAGTTTCCAGGCCCATAGAGCTGTGACACTCACAGTTAAGATGGGTCTTTCCACTTCAGGTACCTTAATCTACACACAAACATGTCCAGAGGCTTTGTCTCCTGTCAAGCTGACAGTATTTTCCACCACAGTGGGTAACGGTTCTCCCTGTTTCATATTTAACCCATAGCCACCAAATGGTTTCTCTTTAAGACATCTGCTTTGACCTGGCTTATCTGTTGCCTCTATGGTAAGAGGAGTCACCTTGCCTGAAGAGTTGCTAGGCAATATAACAAAACAGGAAAATAGCACATCCAGTGAGTCTCGATTTTCCCCTCAGATGGCTCTCCTCCTCAGCAGCATGGTGTCCATCATCATCTATCGCCTGTCAGCCTTTGCCAGTTTCGCCAGCTTCATGGAAAGTGAAGCCACCCTGCAGAGCGTGAAGAGCTTCTTCACCCCGCAGCTGGCCACCTCTCTCTCTGGATCATGCCTGAACTGCATTGTCATCTTGATCTTGAATTTTTTTTATGAAAAGATATCTGCATGGATTACAAAAATGGGTAAGCTGGCCAAATTATGAGAGTGATTTACACACAGGTTTTAGCCAAGACTACACAAACAACTTTGAACCTTCTCCCAGGGAGTTGTTTTCTGAAGGGATCAATTTTCAGGATGTTTTGTGCTCTCAGTAGATCCACACCTAATTTTTAAGAGTTCCTGAAGACCTACATTCAGTCATTTCATAACAGAAGCAAAGAAAACTGTCAAAAAGAGTTCAAGACTCCTTGGCCATTTTGAGGGCTCTTAACTCAACTTTCCCTGGGTGGAATTAGCTGAATCCTAATCAGAATCTTCACTGTACTAAAAACATGGGATGATCTGATTGTGCATGTTCTGTTCTTGGAAGGTATTTGCTTCTGGAAATCATTCTTAAAAAAAAAAAAAAACTTAAAAAGAGAACAGTGCATTCATTCCTCCTACATGACTCTAAAACATAGTGCCTCCCTGTTTAGGTAGCATCTGCTAAAACTAAGATTATGTTATTGTTAAACTTTTAAAATTTCTCCTGAAGTGGAAAGGTGGTGGAGTCAAAGGTGAAGCAAGGTTTTAAGTAAGAAATGCTGCTGCTATTCCCATCTTGGACAAGTTAGAGATAGACAAGACAAGCCTCTTAGCAGCCAAGGGCATCCTTCTCACAGCACTCCTTGCTGCCCCTCCCATTTCCTATGCTCATTCTGATGCTCCACACAGAGGCAGGAAGAGCACTGAATAAGCACTGGTTGGAAACAGTCCTTGCCTCATCTTCAAATTTTGAGTTCTCAGCCAAGTTCACATTCTCTGCGCAAGAGTAGATAAACTGCTTTTAAAGACACCAAGAAGTCAAAGCTTTCATCAGTGAAAATCATCCTTGTGGTCCTATCTGAGACATTTTTAATGAATAGATTAGAGCTTCAGCAAAATGGAAGCTATCTGTGTCCTTAGAATAATGTGTTCTACTCCTGAAAGTGTGATGGTCTGGGCCAGCTGTTCTACTGGGAAATTACCAACTGACTAAAGAAAGTGTGTTCCCCTACTCTTTGAGATCACAATGCTCTGGCAGGCATTGGAGAGAATTTAATTTTTTTTTTTATCTTTAGAACTTGCTAAATTAACCATGATTACATTTTAAGTAAAGGAAGAGAAAGCACGTGCTAACTCTGCTAGCATTTTCAGCCATAGTTTAGTTCAAGAGATGAAAGTACAATGTAGTTAGAAACCATTTTAGCCCTTGATATAAGCTATCCTGGTTTCAACCTGCTTGACCGTGGGCAAAGGAGAAAAAAGCATGGTGTGCTTTTGTTTTTGTTTTTGTTTTTGTAGTGTCTAGCAGTGATAGGGACAGGTACTTCCAGTCTTGCAGGCATTCAAATCTCACATTCAGACTGTCTTATACCTAGAGTAATCCCCACCCATGAAATGTAGTGCTGATTCCTAAGCAACACAACATGACCAACAGAAAGCCAGCACAAACACACAGCTTTTTTATATTGGGTAACTAAAGCGTTTTCACATAGTTTTTAATGATATGATTAGCTATCCACTTCTAAGTATAGCATTCAAGGAAAATGCATTTATCCTTCATGGTTATTATTGGCAGAAATTCCTCGAACTTACCAGGAGTATGAGACCAGCCTCACTCTGAAGATGTTCCTTTTCCAGTTTGTGAATTATTACTCAGCTTGCTTCTATGTGGCCTTCTTTAAAGGGAAGTTAGTGGGATATCCTGGGAAGTACACATATATGTTTGGCATATGGAGAAGTGAAGAGGTAAGAACTCTCTTTTAGGTCAGATATGTGACCTCAAATAAGTAGAGCCTTTTTCCCTAACCCAAATATTCAGAAGTCCAGACATTAACTCCATCCATTGATCAGTTTTATCATCTGTTAGATTTTTGAGTTTCCTTCGAGCAAGAATTTATATGGGATTTGTCTTGGTTTTCTTTCCTGTTGCTATGATAAAATACTCTGGCAAAAGCAACTTAAGGGAGAAATGGTTTATTTCCTGTTACTAGTAAAGAGTGCAGTCTATCATGGCAGAAAAGTCAAGGCAGCAGGAATTTGCAGCATCTGGTCATGTGGCATCCACAGTCGGAAATCAGAGAGCAATGACTGCCTGCTGCTGCTCAGCTCACTTTCTCCACTTACACAGCCCAGGGTCCCATCTAGGGAATGGTTCTGCCCACAGTGGGCAGGTCCTCTCAACTTTAATTACTAATGTAGAAATGATCATCTAGATGCATGTCCAAAGGCTCATTGCCCAGGTTATTCTACTACATTCTAACAGGATGACAATTGACACTAACCATCAAAGAGCTTATGTTTGGCAATAAAATATAGAATAAGTAGAATAGGACTTTTATTAATGAAGGCATCTGAGAAAGGGTCAAGATTCAAGAAAGGGCTCTTCTATAGACTGTTAGACAAGACCAATTGTTTTCAAACTGGTCATATGGAAATTATGCCAGGTTTCAATCCTAGCCCATACAAGAGGATTGATAATTTTCTAAGAATAAGACTTAGAAGTCTGTATCTCCAGCACAGTCCACAAATGGGTATGATGCAGCTACCCTGGTACATGGTCTATGGGATTGAACAGCTCCTGAATCCCATCATTGCCTCTCCCAACCATATTATAAATCCATACTATATCTTCTTGAGCTTCAGATATTCCAGCTGTTGCAAAAATTTGTTTCTCTGCTTTCTCCTCTCTTGTTCCTGAACAGTGTGATCCTGCAGGGTGTCTGGTGGAACTGACAACCCAACTAACCATCATCATGATTGGGAAACAGATCTTTGCAAACATCCAGGAAGCCTGTCAACCGTACGTTTGACTCACACATGGCAATATCTGACTTAAATAGCTATGCAAAAAGATGGGTATACTTATTATTGTCATGGTGTTTTCCTCAGAAAATGTCTAAAAAACAAGAGCAACTCATGTTTAATGAACAGTGTAGGAAGCCTCTGATAATAGAGGCTTTCATTTTATTTACTTAATTGCATGGTCATCACAGCTTTTTTCTTTAGTTTTATTTTCAATTGACAAATAACATTTATATGTAGTCACTTGTATATACATGGTTAATGAGTATAATGTAATGTTTCGGGACAGGCTTTTTTTTTTTTTTTTTCCTGAGGGGGTGTGTGTGTCTCACCTTGTGCTCTGGCTGGCCTGGAGCTCACAATTCACAGAGATCCATCAGCCTCTGCTTCCTGGAGTGCTGAGATTAAAGGCATGCACCTCACACCCTGTGGAGCTGTTAAGCCTCCATTTCTGCTGCTTGAGTGAAGCAGTAAAGTTTTAACCAAAGAATAAACATGTTAGTGCCCAGTAGGTTATTCTGTATGTTGCATATTATACTTCTGCAACTTAAATTTTAATATAAAATTGTATCGATTCTTTGAGCATTCCATACATTGCATGTAATTCCTACTCACCGTACACTTCCCCCTAACTACTCTTAGATCCACTCTTCTCCATCTCCCCACCCATTTCCAGCTTCCCATTCTTTCTTTTACTTCTCTTTTGCAGGGGTCCCCTGAGATCAGTTTACGCTCTAGGTGTACTCATGGGTGTGTGGCCATCCAGTAGAGGTGGTCAACCTACCAGGGGCCACAGCTTTAAAAGGAATGGACTCTCAGTCTCCAGAATCCATCAACCAAGGGTAGCAGTTCCTGACCACCCGCTCACATGCTACTTCATGCTGGAATGTTGAGTGGCTTGAACTTGTTTGCAACAGCCACAGCCGCTATGGGTTCATGAGCTCAACAGTCCTGCCATGTCCAGAAGATACAATTTCTCCCTCACCTAGTTCTTCTGACCTCTGGCTTTTACAGTCTTTCCACCCCTCTTACCAAATGACTGAGCTTTGGGATGGTACATATAATTGTTACTATAACTAAAAGTAGAACCATGGTGGGTTTTTTTTTTTTAATATTTGTGTTATCTTGTATAAGAATAGAAATGCTAGAGAACTTTGGTCATTTGTAAAAGAATTGCTCCCTCCTCCAAAAACACAACAATAATGAACACATTATAAACATATATACACATATATATGTATATATACACATATATGTGTGTATATGAATATGTATACATATATATCTCTATATATAGATATAACATTCCAGCTTATCTCATACATCAGAGGAACATTTCTACCAGTAAAATGAAATAGGATAATAAAAGCCTCAACTTGTATGGGCATTAGCACTCTTTCAGAAGCCAGAGGTTGGGATTATTTCCTATTTGTTTATGAAATTTAAAACACATTAGTGGAGAGAAATAGTGTGTTTTTGAATTGGAAGACACAATATAGGAAAACTGTCTGTTATCCCTATGGTGACACAGACATATATGTTTATTTCGACGAAAACATCAACATTGTTGTCTGTATAGACAAGCAGATTCTAAACATTATGTGGGAGGTTAAAAAACTAGATAACAAAGATGGAGGAATTACTTCATTTGATTTTAAAACTCACTACAAAATTTTGTTAATGACAAGATTATGAGATTGGTGACAGACTGGTTCTATAAATAATGGGGAGAAATAAAGATGTTGGAAATATGTAATCTGTACAAACATGACTAATTTATTCTTGACTTGGTTGCAAAATCAAACAATCAATCAATCAATCAGTCACTCTACCAATCAATAAATAAAACCAGTGAGTTTTCATTTTAGGAAAAGTTGAAGAAAATCAGACATCCATACACAAAATATAAAATTTGACTTGGGACCAACCTCACTTACTCAAAAATAGCTTCAAATAGATAATAAGCAATAAAACGATTTTAATAGAGCAGAAATAATTAGTGTAGAATTTAAGGTAATTACCTGTGCTGTGGAAATCCAGAAATCTCTATGGAAAGAAGCTCACTAAAGATTGCATGAGATTCCTAAGTGCCCTCACCTCTATCTGGCCCTGTGTGCCCTCCCATCCTTTTTCTTTCTTTCCTTTTTTTTTTTTTTTTTCCTCTTTGTGTTTGAGTTTGGATCTAAGCTATATATAAATAATTATTCCTTTCAGTACACAATTGCTTCAGCAGTCCACGTGATGATTTATTTATCTGTTGATCTTTTGCAAGTATAAACTCTGCCTCTATAGGGTCATATTTTTTTTATTTGCCTGATTAATTAACACGAAACGATGACTCTCTGGTTGTGTGTGTTTTCTTTGTAGCAGTGTGATGGTTCAAGGTATTTGATGCCTCCTTTCCTACCTGTCTGCTTATAGGGTTTGTTTGTTCTTTTGTTTTTGGTTTTGATTTTTTTTTTCAGCAATGGTTTGAAAGCTTTAGCTACTGACCCTTCTTTGTTTTCTTCATTTTTGAGTATATGTGTAGAAACACTTTTGTTTTATTATAAATTTTATCCTTTGGTTTTTTTTCGTAATCCTAGGAGGTTGCTCGGTCTTGAGTTTGCTGAGACATCTGCATGTTTTCATCTGCACTGCAGGAGTCACCATGAGGGGTGCTTGAATACCCCTTCCCTTTTGTGACAACTAAAAAATGCTTCCAGCTACGTCAAAGCCTTCCTGGCAAAATCACTCTGGCTGGGAGCCCCTGCTTTCAGTGCATAAAAATGCAGACTTTGAAATTCAGGTTTAACTTCATGTGTTATTTGGTCTCAGATATTTGGAAGGTTCTGGGGTTTTATTTTGTTTTTGCTTTTATTTATATTGGAAGCATGTAAATGTGGTTTTTTTTTTTTCTTCCACTCCAAGAACTTAGTACCTGAAGCATCCACTGCCTAGTGGCAATACATAACCACACAACCGTAACCACAGCTCAGTGCTTGTTTTATTTCATGTATTTATTTTCAGTCATACGACTTACTGGAATATGACCAAGCACATTCTCACTTAGGGTTTTATTTCAAATGTTCTTCACACTGATGAGGACATTTGCCTCTATTTTGTTGGTTGTTTTTAGTCATATTGAACTAATTTGGTTCTAGGATTATCTGTTAGAAGCAAACTTCAGAAAGTTTTTGATACCAAGTGCTTTTGTGTTTAACCTTAACTCTGCCAGCGTGTCTATTGTATTGATTAATTTGCTAGTTATAAAAAAACAGACTTATTTCTCAGAGCAATTCAACACTGCCGTAATCTGCTTTATGTGGTTTGGAACTTAGTTGTTAGTGTATTGGAATATATAAGTGTCTCTGCTTTTCCTTTCATTTTCTGTTACACTCGACAATTTCTTATTTCTGCAAATGTTTTCTGAGCATCTCAGAGGCATGTAGATTGGCCATTGCCCCTGGCCCTGACCACCTCCTTCATATGCTCTATCTACCTGTGTTTGAATGAGCACAGCTCTTGTCAGCAGGTGGAGTGGAAGCTACTTGCCTTCTCCATACCTCTATGTGTGGCAAAAGCAATGTTAGGTTCTCATGTGAAATTAATCTTTGATTATGCTAGCTTAAGACGCTTAGATCTTCTTCTGACAGTTTCCAGACTCAACACACTGGCTCTCTGACTTCTTTCTTCACATGTCAACCTTTATCATTTCTGGCAGCTTGATTTTTAATTGGTGGAGACGCCGAAGAGCCCGAACCCACTCTGAGAAACTGTACAGTCGTTGGGAGCAAGATAATGACCTTCAGGTTTTTGGGAGCCTTGGGCTGTTCTATGAGTACTTGGAAACAGGTAATTTCCAATCATGGTTCTGAGGCAGCATCAGCACTAATAAAAGGAATACTTTTCATCACTTGCAATTTTTTTGTCTTATATATGATAGATGTTTGATATTATTGAATGGAAAAGATGAATGAATGAACGGGTGGGTGGGTGAATGGATGGATGGATATATGGATAGATGGCAGATAAATGAATGGTAGTAGATATATGAATATTGGAAGATGTATTGATAGATGGATATGTGATTTTATGTATGTGTAGGTGGGCGGTAGATGGCTTGACAGGTGGATAGATGAATCAATGACAGAAACACACATATTTATTTATGGTGGATGGGATAAAGATGGATGGATGAATGGGTGGATGGATTGATGGTGGAGAGATGTATGGATAACAGGTGAATATAAATACAGATGTCAGGAATAGATAGATATGGATAGCAGAATTGATGAAAGAAAATAGATGTATATATGTATATATATATATATATATATATATATATATATATGGATGGATGGAAGAACAACTGGATAGATGGATGAATGGATAGGTAGAGAAAAAGGTTCAGTTTTTCTTTGTTCCAGTGATTGAACAAGACACACTGAGGTGAGATGTTGGAGAATTAGTGCTTAGGCTGTTTGTATAGTCTGCCAATAGCATTTTTGCTACCCAACATCCCCTGCTTTTTCTGAAGCTAAAGAGAGTAGTTTATATATTTATTATAAAAATCATGGTGCAACAAAAAAGATGTTCTGAAAACCATTAAGTGATTAATATCTATTAGATATACTATATATTTATCTTGAAATCTGTCAGTGTGAAAGAGAACATTTTTATCCTTCAAGATAAACCATTATCATAGTGTACTTTATGTTGTATGGAATTAGTTTGGTAATACTGTGTATGTTGTAGTACAAAGAGATGGCATTCTTGTTTTATGCAGTTCAGTACACAGTAGGCACTTCTTGCATTCTTGCTATATAAGGTGATAAAACAGTATTTTTTTCTCACTGTGTAAGTTCTGAATTAATACACACATACACACACAGGCAGGAGAGGTTAATACTGACATAAAGATGTGTAATATCATTTATAACAAAATCAGCTTCCATGTATTGAGAACCAACCAAGACTTAGTTTATACTGAGGACTCTCGCACATTCTTCTAGTAATGAGATAATTATTCATTGAACTAATTGGCTGACTGTATCTATTTTTTGTATTGATGATACTGAAGTTAAATAGATTAATTAGTTTTCTAGGTGAATATCTGAGACTACCACCTTGAAAACCCACACTGCCTCTCCCTCAGATTAGTTATTGGTTCCTTAAAAAGAACAAGAACAAGGAGGAGCAAATCGGTACTGCTAATCACTTCCTAACGAGGCAGATGGAAGGAGTTGGGGGTGCAGGCAGCAGGAACTAGCCAGAGTGGCCTTCTTTCTCTACCGTAATGATGGATGACCTGTGTCTCTTCAGTTATCCAGTTCGGCTTTGTCACACTCTTTGTGGCCTCTTTCCCCTTGGCACCCCTGTTTGCTCTCATAAACAACATTGTGGAGATCCGAGTGGATGCCTGGAAGCTCACAACTCAGTACAGGAGACCTGTCGCTGCAAAAGCTCACTCCATAGGAATCTGGCAAGACATTCTTTCTGGAATGGCCATCCTTTCTGTCGCAACTAATGTAAGCCTCCCTCCTTCCCTGGGCATTTTGCATTTTTTATCTGTGGGGATGGAGAAGTGTGAATGGCACCTGACTCGATTATCGTTGAAACCAGTTTCATCACAGTGATGGTTTGTAAGGACAAGCCTTTCTAAACATTGTTTCCTAAGGAAGAACAGTAGGAAGAAAGTAGTAGATTACATTGGATTTCAGGATGGTCTACAGATTGCACCAATCTAGGCAAAAAATCAGTGACAATGTAACATGTTTGAACAATGTAATCTAAGAGTGATTACACACACACACACATATATATATAATATAAATTTACTTCTTTTTACTTATTGTAAAATAATTTTAAAATTTAATTTCACAAATACTAATTTTATAGCCTTCATATTCACCTAAAATTATGTTTTATCAAATCAGGCTTTTACTGAGATAAACAAAAGGAGATATGTCAACTGAATATTTATGATTTATTTTAGAAAGCTTCTGTAAAGGAAATGTGATTAAAAATGTAGAGTTTAAATATGGTGGAAATATAGCAAAATGAACTGGAGCAGAGTTCCAGAAAAACCCTCTGCTGATAATGCTCTTTAAAAACTAAAACAAAACAAAACAAAAAAACCTGCCTTAAGCATGCAACTTCCTACCAAAGGAAAACTCAGAGACACAACACGTGAACAGAAGCAGTAAAAAAAATAAAACTAAAGATAGTCTTTCATTTAAAATAAAAAAAATAATTAATACAAGAATTAGTTTGTTGAAAAAACATAAACAAAACCAGACAAACAAAACCCCAAACCCATGAAAACAGTGACAGACTCCTCTGTACCAGTTTTTAAAACTCTGTTTGAAATTACCAATTGTGAGACAATAAAAATGTCAGATGTGTTCAATAAGCAACAGATGTACCAAGTGTACTCACAGCCATGGTAGTGACAGAAAAGGATTTTTAAAAACATACCCCCAAGTGCACAGGTACCAGAGTCAGGTACATGTTTTCAAGTGCACACATGTGGTCTAGAATATATAAATTATTCCTGTGACCGTCTCACTTAGGAAAAGATAGCACCCCTATATAATGAAGTTGTGGAATTACTTGTAATAAGCAACAATTAAGTGCCAACCCACACTCACTCACTTCTATAGACACTCAATACACAGACAAGAAACACAGATATACAGAGACACACAAAGAGACAGAGTCACAAATACACACACAGGCATATCCATGCATCAATATACACAGACGTATACACATATAAGCACACACGCAGGCCTCAAAAGTTTATACAGACACACACAAATACAAACAGAAACACAAAGGGAGGGATGTGAAAAAACACAGACAGACAGACACAGACAAATGAATTCTATATCTGTCTCTCTCCTAGCACAGATAAGGAAATTCTTTTTTTTTTTTTTTTAATAAATAGCTTAATTTTATTTCAGTATTGTCAAATTACTACTAAGTTAAATTTTCTTTTTCTTTTTCACTTTTTTTGAATTCTTTGTAAGAACAGTGGATATGTCTGTCAGGAACATGACCTATGCCAAGGCTGACAAGAAAGAGCATGCTTTGCAGCGCCAAACACAGATAGGTTCAATTCCTGACTTAGCTATTTTATAGTTAGGAAACCTTGCAAAATTAATCCCAGGCTACCCATGAGCCTTTGCATGTTGTAGAGTGGTGTTTGAATCATTTCATGACCATGTGATTCCCACAAGTCACACTTTGAGCACTGGGTTGGGCTCACCCTCTTTTCTCTCCCTTTGTCCCTCAGGCCTTCATTGTCGCATTCACATCTGACATCGTCCCCCGGCTAGTTTACTTCTACGCCTACTCCAAGAATTCTACAGAGCCCTTTAACGGATATGTTGATAACAGCCTGTCAGTGTTCCTGATAGCTGACTTTCCAAATTACACAGCACCCATGGAGAAGAGGGACTTCAACACTTGCAGGTCTACTTCTGTCTAGGTTTTAGCACTGTACTTTTAACGTCTTTCTCTTTTTTTGTATAATTTTTTATTAATTACAGTTTATTCACTTTGTATCCTAGCTGTAACCCCTCCCCATCACCTCCCAATCCCACCCTCTCTCTCTCTCTCATCTCCTCCCATGCCCCTTCCCTAGTCCACTGATAGGAGAGGACCTCCTCCCCTTCCATCTGACCCTAGCCTATCATCAGGACTGGCTGCATTGTCTTCTTCTGTCGCCTGGTAAGGCTGTGCCCCTCCTCAGGTGGAAATGATCAATGAGCTAGCCCCTGAATTCATGTCAGAGACAGCCCCTGTTTCCCTTACGAGAGAACCCATTTGAACACTGAACTGCCATGGGCTATATTTGTGCAGGGGTTCTAGGTTATATCCATGAATGATCCTTGGGTAGAGTATCAGTCTCAGAAAAGACCCCTAGGCCCAGATTTTTTTGTTGTTGTTGTTCTGTTCTCCTTGTGGAGCTCCAGACAAATATTTTCCTAATATTTGTCTTATAGTATAAAAGGTTTACTTGAGAACACATTTCCTGGGCTAACATCATGCATCAGTTCTGGAATTTACACATTGTATGATACCATGGGTAGAGGTCATCTTGCTTTTAGTTTCCTGTTTTTGAATTATTCTTGAAAATATTCCTCGCTATCTTGGACATGCTCCCTGGACTTCATCCATAACCTCTGTCTATCAGTTAATATGGTTAATTACTTGAATTTTATCATTCATTCTCAGACAATATGCTAAGAAATAGAGAAATAACAACATAATAATGGGACCAGTTCACTGGCCATAATTCCACTGAAAGGTTTTCTTCAGTGTAGAATGTGTGAGGTAGGATATGTGAACTGTTATTTTCACACCCAGTGTATCATGTTCTGTGGGGATCTTTATTCCATAGATATGAAAACAATTGTCAGTAACTAGATGAGTATATAATAGAGATATTCAGATGATAGATGGCTGATGGAGATAGACAAGTGGTTGGATAGATAGATACATAGCTAAATACTTAGATGAAAGATACATAGATACATAGATATAGACGTGCATGGTATTGGTAGATAAATGATAAAGACTGATAGACATAGAGATGAGAGATGATAGACACACATAGTAAAGATAGATGATAGGTATGTATGACAGATATACAATAAAGATAGATCAATTGATATATGATAAAGATAGATATATTCATAGATAGATAAACATATGGATAAAGATAATATATGATATATAAATGATAGAGATAGATGTTACAAAGAGAGAGTAGATAGATCATAAATAGAAAGTAGATGATAGGCTGATAGACATATGCACACATATGTACATACAAATGCCTTTAACATTCGTTTCAAACTCATACTAACTTCCCCCTGCGGGAATCTAACAAAGAGAAAGAAAATCATTTCAGGACAATCAGAAAAAAATCACTGATATATGGCACATTTGGATATGAAGGGATCATGGCACAGTGCTTAAGACTTGGATCCTTGTTGTCTGATTTCTTGGTTTCATCACTTTCTAAAAGCTGAACTGAGTAACTTGGTCTCTCCGGGAGAAGTTTCTCTGGTTTACCATCTCTTAGGGATGTACTATTGGTAAGTAGCGGAAGCCTGGAGCTGTGTGAAAAGGAAAAAATTCAACATTATTTTCCTGTGACCTGGTTTGTACTCAAATCTCCTAAGAAAAATAATAAAAGTTCATGCCAGCTCTCTTTATTATTAAACTTAGCTCAAATACCTGTCATCTATCTGCCATTCTATCTATCATATATATCTATATATGTCATTTATATCTATCATCTATTTACTTATATATCACAGATTACCTGTCTCATCTATCTACATGTCTGTTTATCAACCTATCATCTGTTAACTATCATTGTCTCTATCCTAGATTACCTATCTCTCCCTCATCTACCTATCATATATCTATCATAAGCCATCTCTCTCTATCCATATGTCTGCATAGGTGTGTGTGTGTGTGTGTGTGTGTGTGTGTGTGTGTGTGTTTCGTTTTGCTTTGCTGTTTCATTTTGTTTCGTTGTTTTGTGTTTTTTAGGTACAGAGATTACAGGAACCCTCCCGATCATGAGGACAAATATGCCCCTAGCATGCAGTTCTGGCATGTCCTTGCTGCCAAAATGACCTTCATCATAGTAATGGAAGTAAGCTGATCTGCACTCTCCCCATCTCTTCTGTCTCTGCCCATCTATTTTGCCCCTCCCTAAAACAGCTGTTTCTAAACACATCTGTCATGGAGAAGTTAGTATCTTCACTTTTCTTTTGAAGAGATCATTTGTTGTCATAACTTGTAACTTCTCTTTGGGAGTTTGTTACTCAGGTACAACAGGTAAAGGCACCTTGGCAACAGAAAAAAAAAAAAAGGAAATGCGTGGCAAGGTCAGAAAAAGGCTGATTTTTAGAACACACATTCCGAGGACTCTTTTAGAACCCTCTCACCCACTAGCCTTATGTTTTTACCTTTAACAGTGACCCTTATATTTACCAAAATATGACCCTGGCTGAAGATTAGTTAGCTACTAATTAAAGCTGGGATTTGTTGCCATCTGTGTATCCATCCAAAACCTCGGCCCTGCCCACTGCAGGACACTCCTTAGCTGTGTGATATTTGGACAGAAAGCTCACAAAAAAAGAACCAGCACAGAGGGAGGATGTATAAAGTTCTTTAAACAGGATCAGGGGGTGGGATAAATGTGTGGTTCTCCTGTGGGAGTACCCACAGAAAACACACGTGCAACCTGAGCACGTGCTGTTCAATCAGGGTCTCTTGGACTTTTTATTGCTATCTAGGCGACCCATTTGTGTTTACAAATCAAATGTAGTTAGCGCAGAGAGTAACCCCACACATTTCTCACTAGCTAAAATTCTGATCTCCTGAAGCAAGCGCTTTCAACTTTGAAGCTCATATTTTAGCCTCAAGCTGTGACTCTTGATGTCCTACAGTGACACGCCACACACAAGAGCACACTCTGACACTGTCTTTACATGTACATCAGCATCCTACTCCACTCCTCAAAATAATTGTAATATGTATGGATATGTAGATATACATGATTTAAGATGCTCTATAATTCCTCTTCCAAAGTACAAAATCTCAAAACAGAATCGTTTGGTGAACCGTGCATCCTTAATCTGACAAGATTTCAGTTAATCAATAGCATTTATTCATTTTCCTTAAAGTGGTTGTTGGTCAAAGAGACACTTCAGAACCTGCTAGTACTTGGTTTATTCACTAAATGATACCGATTTTGATGTTAAATCACTCTCAACTCTGAAGTAATATATTCACTAGAGTTTCATTAAGTGTTTAATCAAGGTTTACACACTACAACTTTTTTTTAAATTCTTTATTAATTACACTTTATTCACTTTGTATTCTCCCCTGTGGTTCCCTCCCTCCTCCCATCCCAATCCCTCCCTTCCTCCACCCTCTGCATGCATGCCCCTCCCCAAGTCCACTGATAGGGGAGGTCTTCTTTTCCTTCCTTCTGATCCTAGTCAATTAGGTCTCATCAGGAGTGGCTGCATTGTCTTCTTCTGTGGCCTGGTAATGCTGCTTCCCCCTCAGGGGGAGGTAATTAACAAGCAATTAAAGGCCAATCAGTTCAAATCAGAGACAGTCCCTGTTCCTATTACAATGGAACCCACTTGGATACTGAACTGCCATGGGCTACATCTGTGCAGGGGTCTTAGGTTATCTCCATGCATAGTCCTTGGTTGGAGTATCAGTCTCAGGAAAGACCCCTGTGCTCAGATTTTTTGGTTCTGTTGCTCTCCTTGTGGAGTTCCTGTCCTCTCGAGATCTTACTGTTTCCCACTTCTTTCATAAGATTCCCTGCACTCTGCCCAAAGGTTGTCCATAAGTCTCAGCATCTGCATTGATAGTCTGCATGGCATTAAAAATGGAGTACAGAGCTAAACAGAGAATTCTCAATAGAGGAATATCGAATGGCAGAGAAACACTTAAAGAAATGCTCAATGTCATTAGCCATTAGGGAAATGCAAATCAAAATGACCCTGAGATTTCACCTTACACCCATCAGAATGGCCAAGATGAAAAACTCAAGTGACAACACATGCTGGAGAGGTTGTGGAGAAAAGGGAACCCTCCCCCTTTGCTGGTGGGAATGTAAACTTGTACAACCACTCTGGAAAGCAAACTGGCTCTTTCTCAGACAACTAGGAATAGTGCTTCCTCAAGATTCAGCTATACCACTCCTAGGTATATATCCAAAGTATGCTCAAGTACACAATAAGGACATTTGCTCAAACATGTTTGTAGCAGCCTTATTTGTAATAGCCAGAAGCTGGAAACAGCCCAGATGCCCCTCAGTGGAGGAATGGATGCACAAATTTTGGTATATCTACACAATGGAATATTACTCAGCAATAAAAAACAAGGAAATCATGAACTTTACAAGGTAAATGGTGGGATCTGGAAAAGATCATCCTGAGTGAGCTGTCCCAGAAGCAGAAAGATGCACACGGTATATACTCACTCATATAGACATATAATATAGGATAAACCTACTAAAATCTGTACACCTAAAGAAACTAATCAAGAGGGAGGACTTTTGGTAAATGCTCAATTTCTATCCAGAAAGGCAAAGAGGATGGACATCAGAAAAGAGAAAAGAGGGAACAAGTTGGGAACCTGACAAAGAGGACCTCTGAAAGGCTCTGCACTACAACTTTTTTAAAGTTTTTTATTTATTACAGTTTTTTCACTTTGTATCCCCCTGTAAGCCCCTTCCTCATTCCTTCCCAATCCCACTTTCTTCCCTCTTTTCCTCCCATGCCCCTCCCCCAGTGTACTGATAGGGGAGGTCCTCCTCCCCTTCCCTCTGATCCTAGCTCTAATCACTGTCTACATTTTCTTCCTCTGTGGCCTGTAAGGCTGTTCCCTCCTCAGGAGGAGGTGACCAAAGAGCTACCAATGAGTTCATGTCACAGATAGTCCTTGTTCTCCTTACCAGTGAGCCCACTCAGACACTGAGCTGCCATGGGCAACATCTGTGCAGAGGTTCTAGGTTATGTCCATGAATGGACATTGGTTGAAGTATCAGTCTTATAATGAACTTTACAAGGTAAATGGTGGGATCTGGAAAAGATCATCCTGAGTGAGCTATCCCAGAAGCAGAAAGATGCACACAGTATATACTCACTCATATAGACATATAATATAGGATAAACCTACTGGACTCCTGGGCCCAGATTTTTTTGGTTCTGTTGCTCTCATTGTGCTGCTCCAGTCCCCTCCAGGTCTTTCTATCTCCCCTTCTTTCATAAGATTCCCTGCACTCTACCCAAAATTTGGCTATGAGTCTCAGCATCTGCTTTGATATCCTGCCGGATAGAGTCTTTCAGAGGCCCTCTGTGGTAGGCTTCTGTCTTGTTCCCTTTTTTCTCCCTCTTCTATCCAGTTTGCCTTTCTGAATGATGATTGAGCATCTTACCCAGGGTCCTCCTTCATACTAAACCTATGATATAGGATAATCATTCTAAAATCTGTTTACCTAATGAAGCTAAGCTGAACATACTATAACTTTATAAACATTAGTAATGCTTGTTTCATGCAATATTCTTTGAAAACATTTCCCTTCTTAGGGTTTATGGTCCCTCCCTTCTCTCTCATCACTCTTCCAGCCAGCAAACTGCTTCCAAAATCCCTGGGTTTGCTGCCTAAGTTTGTTGGATTTATCTTTCAGGAACTCTCTGAAGAAAAATTATGGGTGGTTTGTTTTTGAAATCTCAATTATTGAAAAATTTCCAACAAATATTACATTCATTTGTTCTGGAATTAAAAGTCTAAAGTTGTTTCCGTCAATATTTTTAACTTTAAATTTGACAATTTTAGAAATCATTTAAGACATTGCTCCATTTTTGTCCACCGTCTAATGCTGTTATAAAGTGCAGTGCCATCCAGTCAGCTTCATTATTAACGACCTGAAAATGAACAAACCTTGAGCATTCTCCCACCTGACAGTCTGAAACTTCACAAGCAAGTTATTCACTATGGGTCAACGTAGTTGTGCTGGATGATGACTGAGCCCTTTAGAGCTAAGGACACACTCAGGGGTGCAAGAACAATGTTGGTTCTCTCACGATTTCCTTTTCACATGCTTCCTGGTTGAATTCTTGATGATCCTAACAGTATCTCTGATCTTCCTTTATCTCTCTTTTAGCATGTCGTGTTTCTGTTCAAATTTTTATTGGCCTGGATGATACCGGATGTTCCAAAAGATGTTGCGGACAAAATCAAACAAGAAAAGTTAATGACTGTCAAGATTATTCATGACTTTGAGCTCAAAAAGCTGAAAGAAGACTTGAATTTTGAATGTAATGACTTCAGTACGGGTACTAAAGAAAAAGAAAGCAGACCCGTGAGCAGCAAAATCTCAGTCTAACCCCACATGAGTGGAGAAGCGGGGTACCCTTCTCTGTTCACTCTTGCCTCTGGGTTTTGGGCTGGATGCTGGAAGCCATGCATCTACTTGTTTTTCTTTCCTTCTTTTATTTTTATTTCAGCGTATTTATGGACTTTAATCAAGGCTGGCAGCGTGCTATCGGAAGAAAACACAGGCAGGCATAATCCACTGGGCTTTCCCAGGGTCTGACTTTCTGGCGTTCTGTAAACAGTTGCATGTGGGCCCATGGATTCAGAATCAGGGGAATCATGGAGTGTTGCTGCTTAGAGTGAAACCCTGGCCTGGGGAGGAGCTGCTCTGTCACTTCCTGTGGCAACTGCACATCTCTATTGTCTTCTTTTGAGTGTCTTCTGTCTCCTTCCCAACAAGAAAAACATTGTTTCAAAAAGAAAATTAGCAAACAGCCCCACCAAGTCATAAAACATGCGCTGTTGCAAAATGCACAAAAGATAGCTGAAATCAGATATCTGGGGAAGTCTCACCTATTAACAGACACTGGGTAAAAATCACAGCAGCAGTGTACCCTTGACAATGTCAGGTGAGAGTTGGCTTATGTCAGAATCCTTTCCTGGTAAAGGTAAAATTACTTTTTTCCAAGAGACAAAATGAATTTTCATAAAAGACTTCCAGGGGGCTTTAAACACAGTGTTTCCATTTTGTTGAGTTACTTCAACACCATGATGACTACAGGTTTCCAAGGAAAGATACTGTGTGAAGTCAATATGTCTTCTTATGAGTTAAAGAATGCAAGACAGTGCATAGAAGTTGACTTACTCATTTTTAAAGTGGAACTTTTAAAATTTCTCTGAAATGCTGATTTTTGTATCATGAAGCCTTTTTGAGCTCTAACCATTTGTATAAATTGGGCAGAAACTGCTTACAAAATGTGATATTCTATCTGTAAAGAAACTCCAAACTTTGTGATAAGTTTACAGTCTTTTCATGGGCTACATCACTGCTCAATGTCCAGCGCCTTCGTTCTATGCCTTTGACACATGAGAAATTGTCTAGGTGACTGTTAATTTGACATGATAGAACATTTCAGATGTCAACCTTGTCTTCTCTTAGAGAAATTACCAGTACTGTGTGCACAAAGTTTATCACCAAAAGATAATCAACCAAGTGTGAAGGTGATAGTAAGGTGGAAAAAAAAGTGTATTTGTTAAATTATCCCTTCCACATTTAGGGCTATGTGGATATGCAGCAATTCTTGTCATCAGTTCAGTTAATACAATACCACATATGTGTCTGTATGTAACTTGTCACTAGAGCGGGAGATATAGTCCAGCTGTAGAATACTCAAATCTTTAGATTTTAATTAAAATTCAGCTACAAAGGAGTATTTTCTTAAGTTACATACACACAAAGAAACTTGATCACAAGATTCTTGAAAGTAGTATTCCCTTAATGATAACACAATTTATGGCATAGTTGATATTACAGTATAAACTAACTACTGATAGCTATTGCGTATCAAAACTAGGTATTATGGATTTTATAAAAATGATAAAAGAGTTAGCATGTCACATTATTGACATTTTAATTTGTTATACACGAGGTAGATTTTGTGACTATGTTTGGGTCACTGGAAATTATTTCATAATTTCATATGTGGAGATGGTCAACTTAAGAAAACCAGTCCCCTTGCACATGATTCAAGACACAGCTGTGATCCTTGTACCCTGTTGAATCACACTGTCCCTACAGTGCTTCTCACACACAGCTTACCTTGCCTTCTTCATGGTGCTAATGTTTTTAAAAAGGAAGATTATAATTGTTTTAGGAAATACACTTTATTTCTGTGACTTGACTGTTTTGTGAAGCTAAGCTGCAAGACAAGGACAAAGCTGACTTGCAAGCTGCCCATGCACTGCAAGTTCAAAACCAGCTCAAGTACCGATTGTCTAAAGCAGTGGTAGAGATTAAAAAACTCTTAAGATTTACTGGGACCGGCAGATATTTCATATTTGCATTGTAATTTTCCGCTGAGTTCGTTCTTCTTTCATGTTTCACCCTCAGTGACTAGAGTCACTTTCTGGAAAAGTCTGTTAGGCAAAATCAAGTGTAGTTTGTTCAGGCAGATTTGCTTCATTTCATCTGAAATATTGGTTGAGAAGGAATGCTAAGCTAGATATAACTGACCACCCAAAGTGTTTGTATTTAGGAATACAGCTGTGATTTTTTTTTTCAATTCTTTAGTCAGACAATCAGTTTACTTTTTTTAGAACTATTCCAGGGAACTTTGAAAATAGAATCTTCAAGTGCCAACACTCCAAACCACACAACTCTTTCCAAAGATCCTTGTAATCACCATCTTCATTGTTTCTTTTCACACATAAAGCAAAATCCTTCACATGACTTACTTTAGGCATGAAGGGGAGGGAACTGTCATTAAATGGAAACAAATCTCTTCTCAGTGCCAAGAAGGGTGAGAGAGTATCTGGAAGAAACTCCAAGTTGGCAATTTTTGTGTGCCAAAAGAAAGCCTTTGCTTGCAAAGTGTGTTTGTAGGATCGTGTGTTGTGAACAGTCATTGACCCTGCTCTCCAGTGACAATATCATTCAAAAAGATAACCTATTGCTTCTGATGAAGCTTTTACCGTTATTATGTAACTGAATGATGCCATGAAGAAAGATATTGCATTACCAGGCTTTGGACTGTGCCATAAGGAATCAATAGAACTATCGTGTTACTGTTCTTGCAATTTGAATCCAATTTTCTGTGTAGTAATTAAAGTACATCAGTTATTTCATCGGTAAGTGGAAATTAATGACAATGTTTAAAATGTAATATGTAATATGGCATAAACTGTTTGAGATACAAGTGCCCATTACTCTTAATATGTCAATGGATGCACGATGCAGCTCTGCTGATATGAGACGCTGTGTCAGGTGGTCAACTCAGAGTACACAAACTTGCTCTTTCCTTCCTCTCTTCCTCCTTTCTTCCTTCCCTCTCTCCCATGTTCCCTTCCATTCTCCCCTCTCTCCTTCTTTGCCTCCTTCCCTTTCTCCCCCTTTTTCCTCCCCTTTTCTTTTCTTCATTACCTTCTTTCTTAAATAGAGTACATGGGTATTCAGGAAGAGTTTTCCATACTTATGGACCCAAACCTCAAAAGCTGGATCACTCAGTGATTAAAGTAGTGAATAATTTCAGGTATTTTGACCCAAACATGGTTTCTTTTTTTCTGCATTTCATTTTTTGAGAACTTCATACATGCACATAATGTATTTTAATTAACTCCATTCCTTTATCCCCATACAGTTTCTCCTTAGCTTCTCCTCCATTTTTCCTTCCCAACTTGATGTGCTTTGTTTTTAAACCATCTTAGCTCATTTAATGCTAGCTTAGTTTTAGAGATGAGATAATTTCTTAAACCAAGAAGTTCGTAGAAGGATTTTCATCAAATGCACAGTTTTGCAGAGACTTCTGAACATACCCACCCACAGGGTTAGCTCAGAACCTCACTGTACCTTCTGCAATGCAGAAAGAAGATGCAGACTGAATCAAGGGCAGTCTACAGAGGTTGCAGTTTTTCCTGTATCACTTGCCTTTTTATTCTAATTTGGAAAATGTTGCTTGGGGAGGTGATAAGATGATTAAGAACATTATAAATGATGGAGTTGCAGCTAAAGCACTTTGGCAGAGACTCCTGAACAGGCACCCTGGCCCACCAGGAGATGGGAAAAGTCACATAGCATCAGGGCAGTGAAGCCTCCATAACTGCTCTTACCTTGTCCTTTCCAGACACAGTTGAGAGGCTTTACGTCTCTAGTTTCTGCTTATTAAAGATATTATAATCCGGGCATGATGAAGCACATCTGTAATTGCAGCACTCCAGGAGGCAAGGGTAGGCAGATGGCTGAGAGTTCAAGGCCAGCCTGGTCTACAAAGCAAGTCCAAGATGGTCAAGGCTATACAGAGAAGCAATGTCTCAAAAATAAAAAAATAAAAATAAAAGAATTCACTTCATTCAACCAATATATTTTTTAAGAGATTGTATCACATTCTAACTACTTTATGGCTCAAACATATTATCCTACAGGACTTAAAATAGAAAAGCAAAACTATCAATATTTCAGGTGAAGACATTCTTTGAAAATTATAGTCTGGAATGAAATGTAGCATTCAGTGATCCTGAAGTCTTGCTGTGAACAAACCGGAGCCTGCAGGACCATCAGGTAGGGGCAAGGCAGCAGAGCACCTGAGCTTCTGCGCAGTGGCCCTGTGTCCTCTGCAGGCAAGTTCCATTCATGGGAGCCAAGGGCTCATGGGGGGACACAGGAGAAAGCAGATCAAACAAGCTAGATTGCTTGTACGTGCATTGTGCCGTGTTGATCTTCAAGATCGGTCACAAAAACAAACAAACAAAAGCCTCAGCTGCTTTCCTACTGTCTATCAGTTTGGCAAGTAGAGTCTGGCTGCTCTTTTCATCTCTGTGACAAAATACCCTACCAATTCAAATTACCAAAGGTGGGGTTTATTTGGGCTCGTGGCTTGGGGATCCCGTTCATCATGGTGGCCAAGCATGAGGCAGATGGTTCCATCATATCCACAATTAGGAGGCATAAAGACTGGTCAGCAGCTCGCTCCTCTTTCTTTAGTTGGGAATTCCAGCCTACAGGAAAGCAAGGAAAACCAAGAGAAAAGGAAAAAAGTCCCCCTCCATCATAGCAGCTTATTTACAAATCATCAGTGACAGAGCTCAGGCCCAGCAATAATAGACTGGATTTATCCAGACTTTGTAACCATGAAAAAAGGTGGGTAGGAAGTGAACAAAATAGTTAAAAGCAGACTTAATGTATTCATGGAACTGTGTCACATATGAGCATCTGCATGCAGGTATGTATTAAGTGTTAAACACATTCTTCCCCTCCCAAAAGAAACCTTGTGAATAATATGCTTTATTTGTTTATATTCCATGAAGTAATAAAACATGCAGTTTGTGAAGAAAAAAAATTATCAGCCCTAAGTATTTAATCAAAAACATCAAAAAAAATTTTTTTAAGGGAAACAAACCATGTGAAACCATTAACTGGGAGAAGAAAGACAAGCACAGTGAAGGAAGTCCATTGTGTGGTGGATTTGCCATGTGACAAAGCTGGCGATTCCCAAGAGGAAAAGCAAAGAAAGAAAGAAAGTGCAGCTGAACTTCCAATAGATTTAAGGTGTATTTGGGAAAAGAAAAAAATAAATACAGGGTCCAGCAAGGATCACAAGTCCACATGAAATCCCTGAGCTGTCTGTGAACACATGGAGGCTAGAAAAGGGCCTCCACCAGCACAGGGCGTTAAACGTCTGATGGCATTCATAAGTACAATGGCTTCCCGTTATTAAAATGGGAATCAAAGCTCCAAACAGTATACTGTCACTGGGCATAATATTTTCAAGTCTGTGTATTTGAAGATTGTCAGATAAAAGTATGTTAAGAAGAAAGCTCTTAAATATTCCTCCTAGTCAACATGTTTATTATAGACAGGAGAAAAGAAGAAACTTTATCAGAAAATGAAAAGGGGGACCCTCATTTGCATCTAAATCTCAGATTTAGATTCCCAGAATTCAAGGGTGTGTGAGGACCATGTTTGTAAAGATTTATTTATTAAGTATAT